TAACAGCATGGAAAGGTTTTATCCATCTGTATTAATTGCTTTCTCCATAGATCTCTGTTAGGTACCATAGCATGGGTAAGAGACATTAATTTGGTTAGTTGTTTACTGTCTTTAGTTATCCCTTTGGAGTCATTCTGCATTTTGGGAATTTTACATGGAGTCTCTTTGTACCTTCTTATCCTTGATACATCTACAGGTGCTGGCTCAAGTTGCCTGATCCTGCACCAGGCTAAGGAGGCAGCAGTCTCTCTTGTCCCTGCTGCACCTGTTGGTTCCCTGAGTCAGGCAGGCCCTGGGTCTGCCTCCTGGCTGTAGCCCTATCTGTTGCCTCTTCCTTGACCATACCTGGTTGCTGGGGGAGGCCTTGGTGGGAAAAACTGCCACCATCCCTAGCATAGCCTTTCTCAGGCAAGAAATGTAACTTACTTAATCTTTGGGGATCCTTAACCACCCTTGGGACAGTTTTTATCCTCTGAATGCCTTTTGTAAACTGTTCTTCAGATTTTATAACCTTCCAGAAACTCCTTAGTACCAAATTTGGTTTTCTATCAATTTTTTTCTTTAGGAACTTGGGCTCAACATAAATCTTGCCACATTTGTCTTTTTTTTGTGTGTGTGTGTTTTTGAAGCAGGGTCTCCCTGTAAGCCCCAGATATCCTGGAACTCACTATGTAGACCAGGCTGGCCTTGAACTCACAGAGATCCGCCTGCCTCTGCCTCCCAAGTGCTGGGACTACAGGTGTGCACCACCACTCCCGTCACCACATTTGTCTTTGAGTAACCCAAACAGACCATTTCTTCTTTTCCTTTTTATATCTCTTGTAGGTTGCTCTATTATTATACAGACACGTTTTACATGCTGGTTTGAGTCACTTAGATCTGCCAAAGCCTCCCTCACTTTACAAAGATCCTGTCCCATTAAAGGACTTAGTAAAACCTTTTAAAGCTCTATACCTTTTAAAGCTCATTCTTGAGGTCCCAGTTGAATTAAACTTTCCTTTATATCTCTGGTGAACATAGCCCTATCTGGCCCAGCGAACTGGGCATTATATATTGCTTTTCTCATACCTAGTTCTTTCAGTAATGCCTGTCTCTCTTTTATAGTTCTCCAGCCCCTGTTAATCACAGGAGTCACCATTGGTGATGACCATGTATCTTTAATGCCTTGTACAACCATTTTCATTAGGGACTGCTCCCTCCTGTACAGGCCTAGGTTAAACAGCCTATGTCTAGGTCGGATGGATGGTCGGATGGATGGTTATATAACTCAGCTTTGTAGCTACTGAAGGTCTTAGACTGACATTATTTGCTCCCATGTCCCATATCCTCATGAGCCACATGGTGAGGAGCTCTTTGATTGCTTGCTTGTCTTTCCTAGTTTCAACATCTCCAGTCTTTTTCCTTGGGTCCTTTGACTCCTGGTCCCCTAACCTTATGCAAGTCAAACTCTTCCATTTTTTCCTCTCTGTTAAGCTCTGAGGCTGAGACTGAATTTGTCAGTAATTCCTTAGCCTTTTCAGCTTCAATTGTGGCTGCCTTTGTTTCAGGCAAATCTTTAATGGTGCAAAATGGCCATGTCCCCTCTCTGGATTCCCTTCTTGCTTCCAAGGTTTGTAAAATTTTTTCTAGGCTCTCTGTGACCTTTAAGGATTTTTCACATACAAGCAACTGAACTATTTTCCCACATTTACAGGACAACTGTAGCCCAGGGATTTTTCCCCTTTGAGTCCATCCAAGTTTGCATGGCCCATGTCATTCTAGTTACATACTCTATCATCCATCGTATGACCCATGTGAGTACCACTGCTAGCCCCCTTGCTCTTCCCAAACTCATGTGGTTTGTGGTTTCCAGCATCATCCTGCCCAACTGTGCCAATTGCTTCACAAAATTTTCCTTATCCCACTGGAAGACCCACCCCCACTTAGGGTCTCCCAGTCCTGACACTGATTGACAAACTGACATAAGACAGTGTCTTAATTTGTTCTTCATTGCTGTGACAAAACACTCTGACCACTACCAACTTGGGGAGGAAAGGGTTTATTTATCTTACACCTCCCGGGTCACAGTTCATCGGGGAGCCCAAGGTAGGAACTCAGCGCAGGAACCTGGAGGCAGGAGCTGGAGCACAGGCCATGGAGGAACACTGCTTACTAGCTTGCTCCCCTGGCCCCTACTCAGCCTGCTTTCTTATGCAACACAGGCCCACCTGCCCAGGGGTGGCACCACCCACAGTGGGCTGGGCCCTCCCACATCACTCATCAAGAAGATGACCCTCAGACATGGCCACAGGCCAGTCCAATAGAGGAAATTCCCAACTGAAGCTCCCTCAACCCAGGTGTGTCAAGTTGACACTAAAGCTATGCAGCACAGCCAGTCTATTTAGATTTTATATACTTTATATGACATTTGGGAGGGGGTGACCTACAAAACCATGGGTTCTTATAGGCTTTTCCTTTTTCATATTTGAAATGTATGCATCCCTGTCTCTCTTGCTCAGCCACTTTGCCCATGTCCAATATGGTGGTGGCTCCACCCCTTAATGGGCTTGACTCTTCCCCAGAGTGTGGGAAGGAGGTGGGACCATGGCTTATCAGGAACATCCGGGTAACACCCCCTCACCCAGGACAACCACTCCTAATGACAGTGCTGAACCTCGCCTGGCCCCAGGAATGTTCCCCCTATGGGAGATGCTTAGAGGAGAGACCCTATTCTCTCAGCTGCTTTTATGACAGTATTAGAAATTCTTGTTTTTGGTCTTTTTGAGACAGGGCCTCCCTGTAGCCTCAGCAGGCCTGGAGTGCCCTATGTAGACCAGCTTGGCCTTGAACTCACAGAGATCCACCTGCCTCTGCCTCTCGAGTGCTGGGACTAAAGGCATGCTCTACCATACCTGGCTACAATATTACAAATTCTATTTTATATATGTTGTAGATGCTATTCTAAATGCTGTGAACACGAGACTCTTCTACCATGGGATCCTAGATAGACCCCTCCAGAGTGACAGGGGACGCAGTAAAGTGCGCACTTAGTAATTTTTATTTTTTCAGACAGAATCTCCCTGTAACCAGCCACAGGTGACCTGGAACTCATTATGTAGACTAGGCTATGCCTGCTTCTGCCTCCCTAGCGCTGAGATTAAAGGCATGCTCTACCCTGTCCAGCTCAATTTACTAATCTTATTGAATTCCTTTTTTCTTTCTTTTCGGTCTGTAGATTCCTAGGGTAACCAAACAGTCCTCAAGAATGTACATATGTTGTTGATGTGTTTGCTTACTTGTTTTCGGAGACAAGGTCTCTCAGGCTGGCCTCCAGCTCTAATAGTCCTGTCTCAGCCTCTCCAGTGCTAGGTTACCAGCACATGCCCCCCATACTGTGGTGTGCCTACTGAGTTTTTTCCTACTTTCCCTCTCTAATATAAATTTTCCAAAGGCAAATGTTTTTCTCATAGCACCCTCATCAGCAGTAAGGAAAGAAATGACAGGCTCCTGGGTTCCATGAGGTTCCTAAGTGTAAGGGAAAATGGGAAACAAATGGAAACAACTCTGCCAAGAGAACTCTAAACCAACTCAGAGGTGGGAGCAGACTGCTCATGCCTTCGGTATTCCTGCGTAGAAAGAGCACGTTTACTTGCTGAAGTGTTTTCCCCTGACACCCAGGTTGCTTGGCATCGTTCCGTCTACCTTAAGCTTGGTTTATACGCTGTGGCCAGGACTTCTTTCCCCAAAACCTGCCCCGTGAAGTCTTTGTCTGGCCAGCCTGGGAAGCTTGCTACATGGCTCCAGTCCTACTCAATTTACAGGTGTTTTTGGATCCCCCTCCATCTCCACACTGCTTAAGTCACAGTGTAGTCTGATAGGTTGAGCAAGACACATAAAAAAATCATCGTTATCCCCATATAAATTGGTAGGAAGTTTGTGGAACTATGAAGTCAATTAGGAGTTCCAGTACCAGTTTTTCCACTCATTAGCTGGGTGTACTTCCTGCTCTAAGAGGTCAAGAAATGTCTACTGTCCTATGCTGTGTTTCCAGCACTGTTAAAAAAGAAAAAAGAAAAAAAAAAAAAAGTGGTGGGTGCTTGTGTGGTAGATACCTGGCCCACAAACAGAGGATGTTCAAATTACCATTCTCCCTCCAGTTCCTGTCCTTAGGCAAATCGGGAGTTCCCTAGGGGAGGAGATGTCTAACTCGGATCCAGCAGTCAGACTCCATCCGATGGCTAGAATGCATGTGGAGAACTACAATTTTACTTATTTACTAATTTATCTATTTATTCATTTATTTAGGTCTTTTTATATTTTATATTTTGTTATGTGTATGAGTATATTGTCTGCATGTATGTAAGGGCACCCCTGTTGCGCAATGCCTACGGAAGTCAGAAGAGGGGGTCAGAGCCCCTAAAACCGGGTTTTAATGGCAGCCATTGCAATCTGACGTTGTTAGCTGGGATCGAACCCGGGTCCTCTCCAAGGGCAGCCAGTGCTCTTAACTGCTGAACCATCTCTCCAGCCCCTATTTAGATCTTTTTGAGACAGAGTCTCCCTGTAGCTCCCAGCTGGCCTGGAACTCACTTTGCAGACCAGGTTGGCCTCGATCTCACAGAGAGACCGCCTGTCTCTGCCTTCCGAAGTGCTGGGATTGAAGGCGCGGGCCAGCGCGCAGCGGCTAGAACTACAATTTTTAATATGCTTTGGGCCAGGGAACTGATGTACGATTAAAGATCCTACATGGATCAGGTTCCTTCACGGGCCGGGGGAAGGGGGGGGTGGGGACACGACGACGATGACGACGACACGACTTGCTGACAGTCCAATGCCATCCTTACACTGCGCCAGCTCCACCAGCGACCGCTGCAGCTGCGTACTGCGTTCAAACCGCCCACCCGGGGAACGCCTAGGCAAGCCATGCGCACTCCTCCTTCTTCAGCTCCTTCCTACTCTTGGGGGCCGGACCGCCTGGGTATGCGCATGCGCACTCCTCCTTCTTCAGCTCCTCCCCACGCTTAGCTGCAGAGTTCTTTTTGTCCCCAACTGCTTGCGGTGCCGACTTCCCAGCGGAAGTGGGGGCTGCGAGGGAAAATGGCGGCCACTGTCGCGGAGGCACCGGGTGCCACGGCTAGTCGAGTAAGCAAGCGCGGCAGCGGGCCGGGATCCGGCGGGGGAGCCCGAGGGGCGGAGGAGGAGCCTCCGCCGCCGCTCCAGGCAGTTCTGGTGGCTGATAGCTTCAACCGCCGCTTCTTCCCCATCTCCAAGGACCAGCCTCGGGTGAGCGCCCGACACGCGAGCGGCCAGCGGGCCCGGAGGGTGGCGGCGTTGCAGCAAGTTACCGCTGCGGCCGGTTAGTGAAGCATGCTCTGGAAGTTAGCCTAAAGTCGGGTTTACCTGGTTCCCGAAAAGGTGGAGGGTGACTGACCCAGTGCCGAGCACTGTTCGCAGGGCTGTCCACCCAGCTTTGGGAGTCATGGAGAAGCCCTCCCTCGGGTTTTAGTAGCTCAAGAGCGGTCTCCGCTGCCTTTAACCTTGCCGAAGAGAGGTGCTTAGTTAGAAAGGAATAGCTTCAGAAAAAAGGAAGGTAGTATGCCTAAAAGAGAACAGGCTGGATCTCAGGCTGGTGTGTGCGCTTTTTCCTTCCAGGTTTTAGTGACAGCCATTGCCATATCTGTCGGAAGGAGGACCCAGTGGGTTCAGTGACTAATTGCCATCAATCTCTGAATTATCTAGACAACAGGAAATTGGGCTTGGGCTTGGGGACTCCTTTGTCATCAAGTAACCCCTGTTCACCCAAATAGAGGGAGCTGTGATCCAGTGGCTGCCCATAATGTAATAATGGAAGGAAAGTATGTGGGGAAGAAGTGCTTAGAAGACTGGAAATATGACTGAATGCTAACAGTTTGCCAGCACCAGTCTTCTAGAGCATATTTGTGTCTGATACATGTGTTTACTAAGCCTAAATCCCAGTACTTCAGACTGAACCTTAGAGCATTCCATGAACATCAAAAACAGGATGCTGCTTATCTTAGAATAGAAAAGATAAAGCAAACTGTAGTGTTTGGAAACACTGTAGTGAAAATTCTTGTTGCGGTGGAGTACCCAAAGGACCCTCATGGATTGAAGACCTCAAACTTTTTTCATATCCTGCCCTGTAGGTCCTCTTGCCCCTGGCCAATGTGGCACTAATTGACTACACTCTGGAATTCCTGACTGCCACTGGTGTACAGGAAACCTTTGTCTTTTGCTGCTGGAAGGCTACTCAGATCAAAGAACATTTACTGTAAGGCTCTGAAGCTTTTCTTTCCGTGTTTCACTATCTTTCTCCAGTTTTCTCAGGATGGATCTGACAAAGTAAAGCAGATGTGAAGAGAGAAAAAAAATGTGTCTACTCAGATCCCATGTAAGGTCTAAGGTATTTTCTTCACTCTTCATGGAGTTGCTAGAGCCTGTCCTGAGCCTGTCCATTTTGAGGTTTCTATGACAGAAAAAGTACAACGTGAGGTCTTCTGAATCTTACAGAGTTTGGTACCATGGGTTTTGATTTTTATTTAATGGCTCCAGTGTATAATTACTAGAATAATATCTTTGTTTTTCCACTGAATTTCCAAACATTGTTGTGATGCTTAAGGGTAAGAATGAGTACTTTATCCTTGCATTTCCATTGCCTACCTTAGTGTCAAGCCTATAGTAAGTCCGTAACAAATGTCTTTTGAAATCTTAGAATCTGTGGGCATTTAGGAAATAAAGACCAGTATATTAGCACGATTTCCATAATACAACTCTTCAATTTGATAGAGACTTCAGAACAAGAAAGGTGGCATGGAAAGTGTGTTCAGGTTGGGTGTGGTGGCGCACGCTAGTGCATTCACACACATGCAGGCAGTACACTCATACACATAAATTAAAATAATAAATAATATTTTTTTTTGTCTTTTTTTGAGACAGGGTCTCCCTGTAGCCCCAGCTGGCCTGAAACTCTATGTAGACCAGGCTGGCCTCAAACTCACAGAGATCCGCCTGCCTCTGCCTCCCAAGTGCTGGGACTAAAGGCGTGCACCACCACACCCAGCTAAATAAAATATAAAATACTTTTTAAGAAAAGTGTGTTCCCAGAGCTTTTTTTTTTGGTCTTTTGAGTCATGGTCTCCTTGTAGCCCCAGCTGGCCTTGAACTCACAGAGATCTGCCTGCCTCTGCCTCCCAAGTACTGGGATTAAAGGTGTGCCACCACGCCCGGCTCCCAGAGTACTTTTATACCCTAGGTTTCAGCGAGATTTTGAGTTTAAAACTCAAATTCAGGGGCAGGAATCAAGGTAGGGAGAGGAAATAACTACATTTCTTTAACACGTAAAAATGGTGACAGGAGGTGCTGAAAGCATTAATTGTAGTTCATAAATCTCTTTGAAGTTGAGGACGCTGGCAGGAACCCAAAAGGCCTTGGAGAAGTACGAATGCCGAAGGGGGTTGTAAATAAGGTCTGAGTGATCTGCTTACTTTACTTGTGCCTCTCGTTACCTTTCTTATAGGAAATCCAAGTGGTGCCATTCTATGTCCCTCAATGCTGTTCGAATTATCACATCAGAACTATATCGGTCACTAGGAGATGTCCTCCGTGATGTTGATGCCAAGGCCTTGGTGCGCTCTGACTTTCTTCTAGTATATGGAGATGTCATCTCAAACATTAATATTACCAAAGCCCTGGAGGAACACAGGTCAGGGTGGGAAAAATGACAGACAAGAGTTAGGGACCAGCAGAGACCTAAGACTACTCTTTTATATCCCTCTCCCTCCTGTCCTTTATAGGTTGAGAAGGAAGCTAGAAAAAAATGTGTCTGTGATGACAATGATCTTCAAAGAGTCATCCCCCAGCCACCCGACTCGGTGCCATGAGGACAACATGGTGGTAGCCGTGGATAGTACCACAAACCAGATTCTACATTTCCAGAAGACCCAGGGCCTCCGGCGTTTTTCCTTCCCTTTGGTGAGTAGATATCTGGGGGACTCCAGGTGAGAAAGTAGTAAGCATCTAGAGGACAGATAAATTAAAGCCTTTGTGACTTCTCCCCACAGAGCCTGTTCCAGGGCAGTGGAGATGGAGTGGAGATTCGATATGATTTATTGGATTGTCATATAAGCATCTGTTCTCCTCAGGTGAATTCTACAGAACAGGGCGACATATTCAAAGAATAGAACTCTTACGAATCTATTATCCCCTTACATGGCCAGGGTATATTTATCCTCCCTCTTTTTTTTTTTTTTTTTTTTGTTTTTTTTGACAGGGTCTCCCTGTAGCCCCAGGTGACCTGGAACTCACTATGTAGACCAGGCTGACTTTGAACTCACAGAGCTCCTGCCTCTGCTTCCTGAGTGCTGACCAATTCAAAAAAAAAAAACTTTTCCAATTTATTTTTCCCTTTACTGGGCCGGGGATTTTTTTCCCCCCTTTTTTTTTTTTTTTTTTTTTGGTCTTTTTGAGACAGGGTCTCCCTGTAGCTGGCCTGGAACTCACTATGTAGACCAGGCTGGCCTTGAACTCAAAGAGATCTGCCTGCCTCTGCCTCTGGAGTGCTGGGATTAAAGGCGTGCCACCACACCTGGCATTATCCTCCCTCTTTTTAACAGTCTGTCATATAGCAAAGGGATACTGTTCCAGTACATTGGGAACCAAGTCTTTGGGTTTTAGCAAGCCCCGGTCCCCCAGGGTTTCACTAAGTAGCCTTGGCTTGCCTGGAACTTACTATGTAGATGAGGCTGGCCACAAGCTCACAAAGACCTGCCTACTTCTGCTGGGACTAAAGGTGTGTGCTATCACACCTGGCTTAAGTTTTTGGATTTTGTTCTTTAGCCAATTACCATAGGTTTGATTGATCTGTGGGATTTTTCTTTGTTTCCTGAAATAGCACTAAACCTTAGCACACCTCATTTCCCCCCACAGGTAGCTCAACTCTTCACAGACAATTTTGACTACCAAACTCGAGATGATTTTGTGCGAGGCCTGTTAGTGAATGAGGAGGTGAGAAGGAGCTTCCAAAACCACTTTAGAGGAAAGGGCTGTGGTTTTACCTCACTCTGATAACTTTTGGTCCCCTTTAAGCTTTAAAAAGGGAGGGAAATAGCCACCAGGCTGGGAGAAACAGTCTGTAAAGAAAACTCTCAGGCACTTAAGATGGTTACGGTGAGTCGGGGGAAATGAAACTGTTTAGAAAAGGTGTTCTACTTGGAGATTGTCTTACTGTTTCACTTGTTGGGGCGATCTCCCTTTCTCTTCATTTAGATCCTAGGAAACCAGATCCACTTACATGTGGCAACTAGGGAATATGGTGCCCGGGTCTCCAACCTACACATGTACTCAGCTGTCTGTGCTGATGTCATCCGCCGATGGGTCTACCCTCTTACTCCGGAAGTGAACTTCACTGACAGCACCATGCAGAACTACACTCATTCCCGACACAACATCTACCGAGGGCCTGAAGTCAGCCTGGGCCATGGCAGCATCCTTGAGGAAAATGTCCTCTTGGGAGCTGGCACTGTAATTGGCAGCAACTGCTCCATCACCAATAGTGTCATTGGCCCTAACTGCCACATTGGTGAGCACAGCTGGGGAATCCAGCTAATTGTCCTGTGGACATGAACTGGGTGGAAGTTGGAGACTTGGATAATACCACAAATAAGGGATGGTCTTTGTGAATAAATAAGGAACTAAAGTGGCTACCTTAAGAAAGGATCCTGGGGGAGCCACAGTTTTGGGAGTAAAGGTGTGCACCACCACACCCCACCCAGTGTTCTTTTTACATAACTTCTGGTTTTGGTTTGCCTCTTAATAATTTACTTTTATTAAAAATATGATACTTCTAGCCAGGCATGGTGGTGCACGCCTTTAATCCTAGCACACGGGAGGCAGAGGCAGGCAGATCTTTGTGAGTTCAAGGCCAGCCTGGTCTACATAGCGAGTTCCAGGACAGCTGGGACTACAGGGAGACCCTGTCTCAAAAAAGACCCCCCCCCCATTTTTTTGGTCTTTTTTGAGACAGGGTCTCCCTGTAGCCCCAGCTGTCCTGGAACTCACAGAGATCCACCCGACTCTGCCTCCCGGGTGCTGGGATTAAAGGCATGCACCACCACACCCAGCCTTATTTATTTATTTATAAATGGATGGAACTTGGAGAGATCCATCTGCCTCTGAAGTGCTGGGATTAAAAGCATGTGTGCCACTATTCTCTGCCTGATTTTCAGGTCCTTTATCCATATTATGGTGTATAATTGTAAACTTAGTAGAGGGTGACCAGGGTGAGCAATGTTTTGTTCTTAGGGCTGACATGGAGAGTGAATGGGTATTTCTAATGATTGGTAGATGGGGCAACAGTGCTAGGTGGGAGCTGGTCTGGTGTCAGTCAGCCTCATCCTCCATTAAGGGCTCAGTATAGAGGTGGAGCCCTGAGTTACCAGGAATCCTTCTCATTTTGAGTCAGGTGATAACGTGGTGCTGGACCGGGCCTACCTGTGGCAGGGTGTTCGAGTGGCAGATGGAGCACAAATCTACCAGTCTGTGCTCTGTGACAATGCTGAGGTCAAGGAACGAGTTACACTGAAGCCACACTCTGTCCTTACTTCTCAGGTAAGACCTCTCCATACTATGCAGAAGCCTTGAATTGAATAGTGATTATGCCAAGTCAAAAGGGACTGTATTTTGACCCATAAATTAGCCTGCAATGAGGGTCCAAAACCACTGGTTTTATTTACCTTCTCAGCATAGTTAAAAAAATGAAAACGGGGCTGGAGAGATGACTCAGTGGTTAAGAACACTGGCTGTTCTTGCAGAAGACCTGGGTTCGAATCCCAGCACCCACATGGTAGCTAACAACTGTCCATAACTCCAGTTCCAGGGGATCCGACA